ACTAAATGTTTTCCCCCGCACACTTGCGATCTTTTCTGCCTCGGCCAATGATTTTTGGTCTCCACTTCATAATGAGCCTCGATAAAAATGACCAGAAATTAACAATCAAATTTTTTATAACCCATGCATGTGCCTGGACAAAACAATGAAAAATATTGCCAGCTTTGATTTAACCAGGCCACATTTAATGGCAAAAAATTAGGCCCAAAATTTTGGATTTAGCTTGGCCTAAATTATGCTACTTACTTTATTTTCTTCTCTTTTGTACTGTAGAGAACCCAACGCATGGGTTTTATGCACAATTTGTTTGTTATCTGTTTTACTGTTAGTTGCTAGTAGATAGTAAAACCTACATCGTACGAGACTTTTCGCTTTATAGGCAACCCATAAGGATATATCAATTAAAGTGCAGTTGTTAGTGCAATGAGAAAGAAATCTTGCTCATGTTTATCCAAATCCTCTTAATGCGTTGTCCAAGAGAACGAGCATGTTCCTGTGCCCTCCATCTTGTCAACACACTTTCCACGTGCCCTGAAAACACTTTATAATTGGCTGATCAACAAGAATTTTTTTTTTGCGCCCCGCACACTTACGATTTTCAGTTTTTAGTCGCTGGCGACAAAAATCCTGTGATGTTTTTCCCCGCAGACTAGCGATTTTAGTCGCCAAATTCAATCTGTAGTTTGCTGAGAATATTTTAACTTTGGAATATCTACTTACAAGGTTCTATGAAAATTGAGAATTGTATTTAAACTTTATCAAATGAATGGTAGAAAAGACGCTTTTATTCCTCGATTTTTGTAGATCAAGTTTGTATCATAAACACAGAAATAACACCCAATGTCCACGAGAAGCGCCGGAAACCTCACGGTGCGGCCGGGGTAGGACTGGCAGAAAGGGCACCTTAGGGTGTCAAAGTTTGCTGATGAAACAGATCGGGAATTGTCGTTTAGTCAATGACGAAGCCTGGTTATAGGTGAAGGCCCTGTCAAGGGAGAGGGGGTCGGTATTATGAAGGCGTAGCCCTTAGGGAAATTCTGCGTTGCTACGCCCTAAAGACTCTCGGAAATGAAGGCAACAACCATAAAAATACATTTGAATCAAGACTACAGTCAAACTTTATTCTCGAAATTTCTTTCACCTTAACATCAACCATCAAGGGAGACTGGACCCAATCCTACTTAAAACAATATTTTGATGACCATCTACATGGCTTGATATATCTTTTGGATATAATTCCTCTGAATTTTCTTTATTTAAAGTTGATACAATCTGCAGCTATATTGAAGCTAAATGAAGCCAACTAACTTAAATTATAAACGCAGAATATAATTCAAATCAAATATAACTGAAGTTGCATTTTTGAAAAGTTAGTAATTATACTCATTTCGTTTGGAATTGAGTTCCATAAAGCCTGGCCACAATTTCATAGATATCATTTTCTGGTAGAGTAGAGTCGGTAGAATGGAAAGAGGAGGCCCATTGCGAGCGAAGCGAGCAGAAAAATTTTGGCAATAATGTCCTTTAGATTACCTAAAAATTAATTCCAGAATATTTTTTGCAATCTCCTTCTTGCAATCGTTTTGTCTTAAAAATTGCTTTCACAAACTGGAAATCTCGCGAGCGCCCTAAACCTCAAGGTCCATTGCCAATTTTCCATCGCCACCATCTTTCGATAACGGTTTTTGTGAGCTTGTTTTTTGGTGTTTTTGAAAGCAGATCGAGAAGAAACATTTTAGATCATTGCCCCCAAAAGGTCACCCCTTTGCTCATTTCGTATGGGACCAAAGCAATTCAAGGGCAACTCGGTGAGCTGCAAGGGGGCAGGTAAACTGAATTTTGGAAAAAAGGGGTACGTGACCAGTGTGCCCCCAGTTCCTACGCCTTTGCTTGAACTTAAGACATCATTGATGCATTGACTAATATATCGAACATATGCGAGCCAAAGTTGGTAGCAATCTGAAATCTGTTCAGCAAGATCATGAAAGTTGAAGAGAACTTTTCAATGAAAATATTTTTATTGGTCAAATTGCTTTGCAAATCGATCTTCAGTTCTCATCAAAAAGGAAAATATTAACTTTTGTCTTGCATTTAGATATCAAGAGATGCTTGAAGCAAACGATTTTATTAGCATTCAAAATATTTATATGAATTAATATTGCTCGGAAATCAATTTCTTGAAAACGGTCTCTGTGTTGGATGAGATTACTAGGCATGCAGGAAAGGTCCAGCACCAAGATCGGTGATTGCCAAATTTAAAATAATGACTTGATACATTTCACCCCGTTCATTTGACTTCAAAACAGTAGCAATACGGCATGCATTTAACAGAATAGTCAGTATTGTTAGTGGAATGTTTAAAACAGCACAGACGTATGTACTTGCTATGTATGATGACACGTTTAATGCACCCCCGTCTAAGTGCCCCGGTGAGAGGTCAGATTTTTTCCGGGGCGACGGTCACTTTTTGGTGGGGAAAATGATGGTCAAATTTGAAACCGGGGATCCCTAAATTTGTACCAAGAACAGTATCATTTCAAATGGAGACATAAAACAACAAGAACATGGCATGTGTAATTTCCCTGCATCAAGCATTTTTTTAGCTGGACGACTGCACATCAGCATTGACACTAGCTGCACATTATACAATTTGCAATTATACAAACATTGGCAAACAGAAAATAGAAAGTTTGGAAACGTAGCACACTTCAAATTTTTCAGGACCCTTTTGTAGAAACATTGACAAGCCCAAATAATAATAAAGGACTAATGGATCTTCAGCCCTAAAGATCTGATCTATATATTGGGACAAGCTCTGAATACAGTAACTAACCGATGCGGCACTTTTCACGACAGCAATTCTCCTAATCGTACTGGAATTTCCTTTATTTTTGCAAATAGATTTTACAGCAGATAAATACAACTTATACAATTTTGCCGTGGTCTTGAAAATAGGATGTTTTTGCGTTACTTCGAAAGCCAGGTAAACAGAACTAATAATTGTCAATTGACCCTCTGGTCTTCTCAATTTGGAATTTCTTTCTGTCTGGAGCTCATTGTGAATTCCAGTTAAGGATTCTTCGGAGAAAATGTAGAGAATTTTGACACATGGTACAATTTTACCAGAGGAGGCTCTTGATTTTGATTTACTTCCAACAAGAAATCTAGAAATCATTGGCTTCTGTAGAAATGCCATCCAAGTGAGGGTGCCAAAACAGAAAGGCGCGGATATCAAAAGAGTGACACTGATAAGCTCCTCTAGTTAGGGTTTGCTTTCTTCTTTCTCTTCCTCCCCTGACTTGCTGTGAGTGTGTCTATTGCGTCATTACTGGCCTGATCTAGACTAAGCGAAACTTCATAATGATCTCCTGCTACATTTCAATGATTTTATCCTTCTTTTTTTTCTTTGCATGTAAATTCCCTGCAGAGTCAAATAATCCCCACAAAGTCTGGTGAACAGTCTATCCAAAGAGCAAATTATGCAGAGCAACTGATTGATGAGATTCAGTGGTGGAACTACAACATCACTGAATTTTGTAAGAAGCTTTCCAGGACTACCTGATCATTTCCTTCTTCCTACTCTCATCTGCCTCTATAGCTCAGGTGCATGGAGCCTTACCCAAGAAAAATATCTTAATCCATTATTCCGACTACATAAGAAAATTCTGCAAGCCATTAAATTACAAGCGTTTTGTGCTCCCTCCTCGTCAATTTTCCGTCCTTTAAAATCAGCCACAAGAAGTGCTACACACAACTATTACAACCTTAATTTATATTGCACCTTACTAGCTATCTCCTTCTTGCTTTCATAGCTACTTTCAGCTTAATCAACTGTCCATGGAATTGGTACTCGTCAGGCTACAAGAGGTGTTTAGAGCTCTTAAAAATACCACCTTCTATGGTCCGAAACTCAAGTCTCGTGTTCAAAGAAAATGGCAACACCGTTGCATTATTGATCTTTTCGGCAATAGTCGGTAAGTAGCCATATACTCATTTACAGGAATGTCCGATTGCAGGAAATGAGAATTTGCACCAATAAATTGAAAAAGTAGTTTATGCATGCATCAGCCATACACTCCCTTCACAAAAGTATTGCACCACCTCGAAGGAGGGAAAATGGCGCAACATTTATCGAAAGCTATTGTTGTGCGAATTGATTGTGTTTAAGTGGCGAATGGGAGTGTGTCTGTCTCGTGATGTTTATGATAGGTAAGAATTGGTCCTGGGTCCTGGGTCCTGGGTCCTGGATCCTGGGTCCTGGGTCCTGGGTCCTGGGTCCTGGGTCCTGGGTCCTGGGTCCTGGATCCTAGGTCCTGGGTCCTGGATCCTGGGTCCTGGGTCCTGGGTCCTGGGTCCTGGGTCCTGGGTTCTGGGTCCTGGGTCCTGGGTCCTGGTTTCTGGGTCCTACCTTAAGGTCCTGGGTCCTTGTTTTCCGGTATGCCGATTTGAAGTCAACGAAGGAGAAAACACACATTGATTTTGTAGCAACGAGAATAAAGGCGACAGTATTTAAGCAATCGTTTGCGAAAATTTTTTCGAGAAACTGCATAGAAGCCATTAACAAAATCTGAATTTAAGTAATAAATTAGGATATTTAAGATTACCAAGGGCAACGCAACAACAGTTTAGGCATTTCTAGAAAAGAACTGGTCTGGCATCTATCGATATACGAATAAACGAATACAAATAATTGGTTTAAAAATGAATATAGATTCACCAAAATTGAGAACAGCTGGTAAAGCAAGGGTTATAGTACCGAAGTGACATTTGAATACGGTGGATTACTCTTAATCAGCAATAACGAGCTTGCATTCTTGCAAAAAGTAAAAAGTTATATTGAATACATAAACCCTAAACAAAGTAATTTTTAAAAGGCAATCGACACAAACTAAAGTGCTTAAAGTAATCTGTCAATCAAAATTTAACCAATCAGTGAGCGTGATACCACTTACTTGCCTAATGATTGGCTAATATCGATTAAAAGATGGCTATACTTTTTCATGTTGTTGTTGCGTGAAAGGACGTTCTTTTACGTTCGGCTTTTACGCCGAAGACGGCACATGCTAAGAATATTTCGTTTGATTATAGGGTTGAAAACGCACGATATGACAGGGTTGAACAGAGAGTTCGTCATTATAAACAACCATTCCCAGCATACTGTGTATTTGAATAAAGAACTTTGAACGTCAAAAACTTTCAATATGCTTGTTATGTATGTCGGAGCAGAGCAAACAAAGAATGCCAGAATAATTAGACCACCAACAAGCAGAATGTTTCTATCCTTGTCACTTGATCCTACTTGTCTAAATCTTTCTGCTTCAGTCTTTATCTGTCGCCGGATCCTCTGAGCACGAACAAATATCTTAGCGTGTGAAAATATAATGATTATTGATAAAGGAGTACCAAATACTATACTAGATGCAAAAAGTAGCCTTTTATGAAAAGAAAGATATCCTGGTGCAACAGCGAGAATAGACAAAAGCCAAATGCAGCATACGACAGACCAAATCCATGACCTTGATGTTAATCTTGCGTTGTAAAAGTATGGATGAAAAATGTAGATGTATCTCTCTACCGCAAGAGCTGCTACAATATGAAATGAGACCCATCCAATAACGTGTTTGATAACAATAGTAACATCTGCAAAATAGCAAGGGTCTTTGAGCATGGCAATGTATAGGTACTCCACGAAATTACTTGGCATGGTGAACAGTCCAGTTACAAGGTCAGTAATTGCCAGATTCAAAATTAGCAACAGATGTGTTTCACCCCGTTCATTTGACTTCAAAAGAGCAGCAATAAGGCATGCATTGACTGATGTTGTTAACATTGCTAAAGGAATGTTTAGGACGGCACAGGCGTATGTACTTGCTATGTATGATGATGTGTTTGATATTTCTAAACCATTCATTTCACAAGGAAGCATTTTCTTCAGCAGCTGTTTATCAATCAACTACACAAACGCGGCCCCTCGAATGCACTTAATTGCTTAAAGCGAATGTTAGTTTGTAATTCAGCTGATTCTTTCCAAGATCAAACTTTTGTCAAGAGTAAAATTTCTCGCAACGATACTTTCTGTGTTCCGAAAGACCCAATGAGACAAATTTCAAGCTTTCCATTTCTTATGCAGCTTAACCTAGTCTAATTCTCTCTTTCATGTTTTATCCAATAGAAATGCGTTTTTTCAAACAGGATATCTTGTTTTACTAGATATATTAAAGAAATCTTGATAACTTTGATAATGAACAATATAAGTAGCTTTTTATTTTAACAGCTGTTCCTAGAAAGTGTCATTTTCACTGGCAATGTTTGATTTGATAATCCAAAGAATTTTCATTCACTATAAGAACTTCTTCGCTTTTTAGGAAATCGTACTCCTACAAGATCTAAAGCTATTGAAGTAAAACAAGCTAAAAGAAAACTTACTTTGATAAAGTCGAGCGTTTTATAGCTGAGAGTCGTGAGCGTTTGATCAGGGCTCTGGGTTCGACATACGGGACCTACATGGTGGAATGATCTGTCATTACATGTAGAGAGTGCAATGAACGAAAATAGTTTGAAATCACCACTTAAGACACACTATTTTAGACTAGTATATAGCTTAGACTTATATTTTATCTTTAATCTAATTTTGTAAGGTCATCCATAAAACTTTGTCGTACATACAATAGTTAAGAACTTAACTAAATAACTAACAACCATTTCTCATGAAGGCAAATGAATTTTGAATCCTTTTTATGCATCTTTTAACTCAATTTTCCGCTGAACTTATCAATGGGTTCTACCTTTACGTCCACAACTCCATATTCTGATGACTTTTCTTCTTACTCTTGGATTGAATGTACAGGATATGATTGGGTTAATAAAAGAGTTGCTAAGGACCAGCAATAATAGCCAGTAATACATGCCTCGGAAAATATGACTTCGTATGCCGAAAGCCAAAAACAGATTTGACAAAACAGTTGGAGCATAGCAAACAAAGAATGAAATTATAATCAATCCACCAACAACGACAAGATTCCTGTCCTTCTTGTTCATTCTAAGTTGTCCAAAACGTCCTGCTTCTGCCGCTATTTGACGACGTACTCTCCGAGCACGAAGCATTATCCTTGTGTAGCAGAAAAAAATAAGAGCCGAGGCAAGAACGCCAATGCATGTATTAATCAAATAGCTGCCTCCCGTAAATAAATATGCAACTGAAAGAGCAATCGATAATAGCCATATACTTCCTGCCATGGCTGTCAAGAAACGAGATGTGAGCTTCTCATTGTAAAAGAAAGGATGAAAAACATAGGTGTACCTCTCCATTGTAACCGCGATTACAGTAAAAAAGGAGGCCATCCCAAGAAAGAATGTAATATTTTCAGCAACTACTTTGCTATAGCAAGTTTCTTTGAAGTGTGAATTATGAAGATATGAAATGAATTGACTTGGCATAGAAACAATTCCTGTCAAAAGATCGGTTATTGCCAGATTCAGCATCAGAATTTGATATGGTTCTGCCCGGTCACTAGATTTAAGAACAGCTACAATGAATGATGTATTCAGTAGTGTAGTAGGTACTGCAAGGACAAGGTTGAAGATAGCACATATGTAGAAAGGGGACTTTGCCCTTGCTAAAATGTCGTCATTGCAGGGTAGCACCATGATCCTCAAAGAAGATTAGTTAGGAATGAATTCCATTTGCAGTTTCTACTCCTGAATAACAAAGCTCTTGATATAAAGTCTTATTATCCGAAGACTGTCGGCAGATAAGATCCAGTCAGTACAAGCAGTTTAAGTTGAATGAGAATGCAGTCGTAATTACTTTCAAATAGGTCAATATGTGTTCTTTTGCACCAGTAAATGCTTAAACATTAATCAAGAGCAGGTGGTTTTTGGCATTTGAAAATTACACTTCACAATTACAAAATTATCTTTAAAAGGGAATGCCGAATGTTTGATATTTACTTGTAAATTTACTTTTTCCCAGAAGTGCGTGGTTTTATTATTTTCATATGGTTAATATTTAGCTTGCCTTTTCATATAAGCTTACAAATGTGATCCTTTACTTGAACTTCAATTTTCAATGAAAAAACTGTTTTAAAGCCTCTTACCATTATTCTCACAAGAAAAGTGTCTCTGCCAAGTAGTATTTATCATCAAAGGTTCATATCTCCGAAGTTTTCTTAAAAGATGAGGTTTCAATTTAATCTTGCAATGATAAAAATGTTTAAAACCACATCTGCCGAAGATTATAGCAAATGTAATCTTGGACAGGCAACTAGAAGATTTTTCATCGTTCTCTTCTGCTCATTTTTATATTTCTGCTGTTGAAATACATGCCATGTGTTTAGCAATTTGTTTCAACATCTGGATTGTAGGCTCAATAGATGCAAGAATGTTCCTGCAATACGGAATAGAAACAACATGAAATAGAAACGTGACTGGAATCTTTTGTTACTTCAATCTTTAACGTGTATATCGCCAATCAACGTATTCATAATTGCCCACAAAAAGAAGTCAGATTTTGTGTCCAATTCCTGCATAATTTTGACATTTAATCTGCAGTGTTAAGTATATACATAATTTTCTAATATGAAATATCAAAGTAAACTGGCAGTGCAGACAACCAGTGAGAGTTATCTGAGAATTTTAGTATGAGTTGATCTAATTGACGGTTCTTCGTTTAGATGAACATTTTACCAAATCTGTCTACAATTTCTTTTTTTATCAAGGGACATTTGAATATATAATAATTGCGCTTGTTGTTCAATTATTCATATCTCCGTGTCTGTAGAATGTTTACCTTCATGGTATGATTGACAGACCTGTTCAACCTGTAGTGCACTTCATTGTTTTGCAGTGATCTTTTTTCTGGTATTTGCTGATTCGTAACACATGCAAAAAACCTTAAAACAGACTGGTAGAGTTAACAAAGGCTTTAAACTTTATATTGTTCTCCGCTAGAACTTTAATTAAGGATTAACGATTAGAATCTAGTAATTAACATTCTTCTAAGAACAGCAACGACAAAAGCAATACACAAGAAATTTCAAATGGCATATTCACATGTCGAGCATTTCATTAATTTGTTACGATGAAGACAACTGATGTTTATGAAAATGAGCTTTAAAATACAACATCATAGCAAGTATATTGCAGCTATGCTTCTGCAGATGTCCTTTATTGTGCCGTAGGTCCATGCAATCTTTCGGCTTGTTTTCGAGTCTATGTCTCTTCAATATAGCAACACTTCCATCGATGAAAAGTCTACCCAGCATTAAGCAAGTGAGAAATTTACAACAACAGTCACAAGAATCTATGATTTATGGTGCTTTTCCTTCTTTCCTGAACTCTTTTCAGCCTTGTTCTTCTTTGACCTTCCCTCATTCTTCTTTGTTTTCTTTGTCTCGTGGGTCTCTTTGTTTGCTTCTTTCTTCTCAGACTTTTGTTCTTTGTCTG